CTTGTTGAGCACATTTTTTTGGCAAAGTTTTATGCTGTAGACATAAAGACATCCAATGATACTCATATTATTTCCTTGCTTTTATCTCTTTTTAAACATTTCCCAGGCCTAATTTAGACTAAGATTGCTGCCTTTAAAACCCATTAAAAACTTTGTATGAAGCTTAAATATAATTCATGATTTATGATAACATGCTGCTTTTATAAAGTGGTTTAGAAATCGTTGCTTTTACCGTACCCTATATAAAAAAAAACATATTACGGAGGATTTCACTTTCATGATTATCACTTTATTTTGATCAAGCTTCTTATCAGATAATAAGTCAGACAATGTAACACATTAGTTATAGATTATCTGGCTTTTTGTTCAAAATGCATACAACAATATTATCTTTGCAAATTTTAAAGACGATCAATTGGTTTATTTTGACAAAAATTCCGGCATTTAGTTAGTGACTATATTTGAATATAGGGGTCGCTGTTTAGCTGAAATATAATTTTTGCCTCACAGCATCAAGCATTTACTTTAACTTGCTGTGCAAAAGTTTAGTTGTTCCCTGAATCACCCTATGCTGACATTGAGAACATTTTGTTAGATGTTAAGAAAGACAGGATAATGAGAAGCATTTCTTTGTGACTAACCAGAGAAAACACCAAATGAAGTGAGGGGATATAAAGGAAAAAGTTGAAGCTAATGGTTGAAATGTGAGGAATGAGTAACAATTATTTAAAATAGAGCACGTAGGAAAAATGTATGACATCCTCATACCAGTAAACACAGTTGAAACCTCTTACATTTCTTTCTTGCTTTTTGATCCGACTAATGTTTACTATCTTAGGCCAATAGTTCTGTATATGCTAAATGCCAGAATGGTGAGTGAGCATTTTTGCAGAGCAGAACTACATTTACCATTTAGTAGTTCCTCCTTATGAACTGTCTTGGGTTGATACATGGGTTATATTATCTTGAAAGAACTGACATGCACACACCTTTTGATCACTGTCTGAAAATTGTCTACAATACAGAGATCATGGGTTTGTGAAAACTGCTCCAAAACACTGACTCTGTGTCTTTAAACGCCTTTGTAAATATGTGTGGGATTTGTTTACAGTCTGTCTTGAAGCCTGTGTGTAAAATGTTCAATTATTTGGCTAATGTCTGGTAAAGTTGCTTCAATGTTCCATGTCATGATTTCCATTTTGTGAAACGCAACAGTCCCTCCTGCAGCCAAATACAGAAAAAACATGACACTTCCTACCCCTGCCTTCATAGTTGGGATGGAGTTTCGATGCTTGCATGCTCCCCAATTTTTCCTCCTCAAGTATCACTAGTCATTATGACCAAACACTATAAAGACTGCAAATGTGTCCGAAAATGGTGGCCTATACCACTGGGTGGATTGGCAAAATCTAATCTGGTTTCTCATGTTACATTTGGAGTGATGTCTTCTTCCTTACTGAGTAGCATTTCAGTCAGTGATGATATAGATCTTATTTCTGGGCAAGAGTACATGGACTATTGTGGAAAAAAAAATCAACAAATTATTAGAATTCAGACATTTTGGTAGATTTCAGTATTTCTCAGAAATTAGTATTTAAATAAATAGTAAGGATTTAGCAAAAAAAAGCCAGAATTTTAGAAACGTTTTCATTTTCCAACGGCCCAAACCCTCTAACATATTTTCCAGATGGTAAAACATTTTTTTAGTTTTAGTCTATGCTCTTCTGAATGTTGCTTAGTTTTGTGTTGTGGCTAAATGGACATATTTCCTAAGTTTTATTTTCCTAAGTTCTTTTATAAAATGCAATAAGCAAATGTATCACACAAATATGATATCAGCATCACCAGTTCTCTCAAGGATTTATAAGTATAGTTATCTTTGTGAATGTAAAGATAACATTCCTATGACTGAAATTTAGCAAATTAAGGTTATTTTGTTGATTTAATCACTGAGAAAAAGACTCTCTGCGTTTTACACAGTAAATGCAGATATATAGTTTCAACAGTAAGCTTTGTATTTATGACCAAATGAACAAAACAAAGCAAGGTGAAGAAATAACTTAGGTCCAATGTAGCAGAAATTTGCTACTGGAAAAGGATAGTAAAACAGGTCAAGTGAAGAGAAGTCAGCAGGCAATGATGTAGAGAAAGAGAAGCAAGTTTTAAAGCAGAAAAACAACCTTAAGGGAGAAAAGAAAAGGATAAAGTGTAAGTAACAAGGTGGATAGTAATGAAAAATTTAAGTCCAGAAAAAGAGATGGGGGAATTGATGGAGAGGAGGAGGAGGAGGAGCACTCTCTAGAATGGAAGACCAGTAAAGCCAGGTCAGCTAGAGATTGTTGAATTGCACTAAGCAAGAAGTTAAGTTCTCTTCACCTCCTCTCCATCTCCTCACTGCCTTCTCCTTGCTCTTTCTCAGCTTTTCAGCTGCTCCCACCCCCGTCCCCCTGCTCTACTCACACGCCCCACTTTCCTTACCTCTGCAGCCGGGAAGCACTGCCTTACGCCGACAGCCGTTTGTTATGTGTGTATGTGCAGATTCCTCATGGCAATTTTTTTTTTATCAGTGTGTAAAGCTGGTTGATGCAGCTGTTCCACCAACTTTGCCGCTTCAGGATTACATGGCACATGCAGAGCCCATGTCCTCCTACGTTTGGTCTAATATGGGATGACACATGGCAGAGAGCATTGGATTTTAGTGTGTTTGTGTGAACGAAAGTCCATCTGGTGCTCCTGAAAGTATCCACATGGCATCATATTTTGATTCCTGAAACTGAGCTGCGTGTGGAACATATTTATGTAATATTGATAAATGATTGCAACCACAAACTGTAGCTTATTGGGATTATAAGATAGTCCAGAGTTTGGCAACCACTGGAACATTTTTGGAGCTGCTCAATCTAAACAAAAATTGTAGAGATTAATCAAACTGACTAAGGCATCTGGAAAAAAGATAAACTTGATTGAGGTAGGGGTAGGAGTAGTGCAAAGAAAAGCCTGAAGCTTTTAAAATTAGCCAAATAACTATATATAATTATTTAAGGTCAAGAGGGTAATTTTCAGTTTTTGGCAAATAAATTGGCTTTCACTTAAATAATGTGCATGGCTTGCAGTCTTTATAATGAGCCTATGGAGAAAAATATTTAAAGAATATAATGCCTGACTATTGCTTTCATGTTGCAACTGATTATTTTTGTCGATTATTTTTTCGAATAATCAATTAATAATCATATAGCCAAAGCTTCCTTAAAGATTTTTTTTACTAAATTAAACCAGGTGATACTGTACTAAAACATTTCCACCACAGTTCTGGGTAGAGCATCTTAAATGCGAAATGTTTATATATATATTTTTTTTACAATTTGGATATAATTACTGCTTTAAGAGGGTTGCTCTCTAAACTAAAGACGTGTTTTAGACTTAGATTTATACAAAATCTTTATTGTCATCTTATATACACAGTGTATACAAAACAGCTTGAATACATACAGCTTTTTGACAGTGAATGAGCAGCTTTGCAGTGAAATTAACATTTCCATGTTGAAAGTACAGCAGTTATCAAAATGTAAACAGTGTAGGAGAGACATGGTGCAAACGGCATTGATGTGGGAAGTTCCGAGCAATGCAAGTATGGAGTCTCTATACTCCAGTTATCGATTACTCAGTTTCTAAATTAGTTGATGATTATTTCAATAATAGATTAATCACAATTAATCTGATAGATTTTTTCAGCCTTAAATTATATATTTCTATTTTAGTCATGGTTTTATTCACCTAGACCTAATGTGAAGGATCGAGGGAGGGATATTTAGGTGGTCAGGTGGAAGAATCTGTCAACAAACACAACTATTATTGTTACAATTTAGCAATCTGGCAGGAATAGTGGTAAGAAATAATTATTCTTTATTAGAAGGGACTTTAAAAAATAAAGGTTTGTCACAAGTCACTTCAAGGGACAAAAATTTTGAAAAAAGGTCTTCCATCGGTTAAAACCAAAATGGTTCTTTTTTTGGTGTTAGTACAATGTGTGATAAAAGACCGACGCCTTAAATCCAGCAACTCTTATAGTGAAATGTGGTGCTGGCTGCATCATGATGCAGGAATGCTTTTTGTCAGCATTTAGAGATAAACATTGGATGATAATCACCAATGCACAGTGTTACCATGGAATGGCTTAGTTCAAACCATTTTAATGTGCTCAGGTGGTCCAATTAGCTACATCTGTAACATGGATAGACCATTACTGTTTGCAGATAGTTTCCATCAATCTGACATGATTGAACTAGTTTGTAATAATGAACAGGCAAAAAGATTAGTCTCCCAAAAGTCTAACAGCTGTACTTGCAGCAAGGAGTGGTTTTACAAAGCTCTGATCAATAGAGTCTGAACAGAAATTTCTAAACTTTACCATTTTCGTATGTCTTTTTTTTCACCCTTCAGTTTTATAATTAAATAATATTTTATAGTTTGATCAAATATAACTAGCAGTTTTAGATAGGTAATTTTTTTGTCCAAATGTTCTAGTGTTATGAAGGCTTTTATGAAGCTGTATCTGTATCTATTTCATGTATGAGCACATAAACCCAGCTGTTGTTCCTTGAGTTACACTGTTCTGCAGAATTTTCATGCATCCCTGCTCCAACACTCCTCAAACAAAAGGCCAAATTACCTCATTGGCATGTTGGTAAGCTCTGCAGCGATCTGGCCATTAACCATTAATTTGTTTCAGGTGTTTTGAAGAAGGGATGCATGCAAAATCTGCAATACAGTGGCACTGGAGGACCAACGTTGCCTACCCCTGTAGTACACCATCAAATTGACTCTTTATTATTCAATTGAAAAACATGGAATGCACTAAAAAAATAGGTGTCTCTCACACCTAACCCACTTTATAGAAACACTGGAATGAGTCAAAGTTTTCATGTGAAAGTGACCTTGTCTAAATGTTGCCATACTAGAGTGCCTTTCATAAAAGACTTGGATGTGCCTCTTCTTTCCAGGAGGAATGCCAGTGCCTGAGGTGGCGTCTGACAGTGCCAGCGCCGCCGCCATGTTGAGCCCCGTCCTCAATGCCTCCAATGGAGACGGCTCAGAGTCTGAAACCACCTCCGCCATCCTCGCCTCTGTCAAGGAACAGGTTAGAAGTCTCTGCTTTTTGTATGAGTGCCTCTGAGCGCATGTGTTCACAAAACAAACATGGGGTTGTCACGATTAATGAAAGATGAATACCAGAAAGCACTGAGGATAAGTCCCACAGCCCTTTTTAGAGAGAAACAAGGTGACAGTAAACAGTAAACACAAGTGATGGAGCATCCCACTAAGCCAGGGTGTCAGAAATATGTCACTGCATCTTGATGAAGAGGGCCTTGAGCTACAGCCTTGTGAGGGGATTTTAGCCTAATGTGATTGAAAGGATCATTTCCCCACATTTTGTAAGATAGGAGCACCTTTGTTCCAGTTGCTTCAAGTGATGAGGCTGCACAGAGAAAAAAAAAAGGAAGTCACCTTCAGTTTGTTTTTAGCATAGCAAAGATTAGGCAGTAGAGGTTAAAGCTGTTTGATGTTCATTTTGAAATTATGAGGATTAGAATATTAATCACAGAGCTTAGATGTCGCTGAATGTATTCACCTCTCTTATTTTTGAACCAGAATGTGATCGCTATAGGGGTTTTGATCTGCAGTTAATTTAAATGTTGCCTCCTTGAGACGCTCTCATGCAGTTTTTCTGTTTCCGGATTCGATCCTGAATTCAAATTTCGTTTTAATGATGCTTCAACTAAACAGGCGTTTTCTTCTTGATCCAGGTTTTTAATAGATTACAAGTTAACCCTAATGGACAGTTTTATGTATTTTAATCAACCTACTTATTTAAGTAAAAGCTAGATAAAAACATGTTGAAAAATGGAATAAGGGAAACAAAAAAAACAAAAACTTGCATGAATATTGATGGATTCATTGACTTAATTTATCTCACAGTGAAGAAATTTATTTACATCAGCTGAAATAGTCGAAGAAGAAGAATGTGCTAAAGGGAGAAAAAGGTGCATGGGATATATACTACATATGACATTTTTATTATGTTTTTATGGTAGGATTATTATACAGGGTTATTGCACATGGTGTTTACGTGGGTATTTATATACATGGATACTTTTATATTTATATAAATAGTTATTGTACTGGGTGTCAAATATAGAGAAACGGGTTATTGCACAGGGTATCAAATAGTAAATTGCACATTATACTATCTTTCTGTCTGTCTGTCTGTCTGTCTACGAGGGGCATTCAATAAGTAATGCCCCTGGCCCACTTCCAGATATTTGATCAAGCTGAAATTTTGCATATGAAGTATTTTAAACCTCTATAGATTAAATAGCAAATTATAGTTCTGAACTAATTGTGGTTTCTGATTTAATTGAATTAAAACTAAGTGAAGTCTGAGTTTTTGCATTTGAAAGCAGGCACACAATGGGAGACTTTTGATCAAATGAAAGTAACTTACTGTATAGTGATAATGTCCCATAATATAACCTTCTAAAACATTTTGCAAGGTCTTACAATGGGCACGATCACCATAAGTTACTTTAATTATATAAAAAGTCTCCTGTGGTGTGAGTCCTTTCAAATAGAAACACCGGATCACTGCTCAACACTCAAATGGCTCCATTTCAGACTTTACTCAGCTGAAACAACTGTAAATCATAAACCCCAAAATAGTTCAGAGGTGTCATTTTCTACTTAATCTATCTAGATTTAAAATATTTCACATGCAAAATTTCAGCTTGATTAAACACCTGGAAGTGGATCAGGCATTACTTATTGAACGTCCCTCGTATCTACCTGTCTATCAAATTTATGTACTACCTAAATTAAAAATGTCCTGTTGATCCTTCTTTTTCTCTGTTACACCACATATTTTGTCTTTTTTCTATCATGGTACTATGAAAATTAGGATTTTGCATTTAGAAGTGAAAAAGAAACACTTGTCTTCTATCTAAATTAGGCTGGTGTTCTGTAAAAGCAGAATAAACTGCTTTAGATGTGGAAGAGTGAGGATTTGACTGAGTGAGTTTGAATCTGAACTTAAAAAAGAAAGAAAGACACATCTGCCTGTTAGTGAAGCAGGTGGATGATTTAGAAAGAAGAAAAAAAAGGTTAGAAGATGTTGAGGCAGGGTGTGATCTTTTAGTTGAATAACCTCCCACCTCCTCCGCCTATGAGTAGCATTACTCACAATGAGTTCTTTCTTCCTGAAACGTGACACTACAGCAATTTTAGTTTAATTACGCCTGCATGAGCAGGGCTGATTTATGTTGCAGGTGATTATGTGATGTGTGTTAACTTCCGTAGTGCAAGTACTACGCGGGACTGGAAGCTAAAGAAGATGCTTTTGTACGGGGTCTGAACATTAGCTGTTAAAGTACAAACTAAAAATGTTTGCCAGATGGCAATTTTGACTGTAGCCAAATCCAGCGTGAAAAGGAATGCCAAGTCATTAGGTTTTGTGCACTGTGGTGGATTTAGGTACCAAAGTTCATTTTAATCCATTCAGCATTTCTCTGCATATATTTAATCTGGACTAAAATGTTGGACAGATGGACCAACATTGTCACCCCTGGGAGCCACAACACTGCTGCATTTTTAAATATTTTCAAGCAGCTCACCCGGGGATAAACGCTAATCAGCATACAGTAACATGAAAACAGATTGGGATTGATGTTGGTGAGGGATCCCATTATGTGCTTAAATAAAACATTTACTGCAGATGTTTGGAGCAACTGCTGAACCTGCTGTGCTGAACTGGCCCATGTCTCAAACAACATCAAGTCTGGATTAGTATAAAAGCAATCATACCCCTGGAGTACTTCCGCATTTTGTCTCCATGCAACCAGAAACATCAGTGTATTCTGTTGGGATTAGTGGTGTGTAATATAAGAAAAAGTGGTATTGTAAATAGCAGATTAACCTACATATTCTTAAATCTCTTTTTGTACAATCCACACATCTCTCCCCATGAACTTTAGCTCCTAAGCCAATAGAACTTATATCGTGTGCAGGCATAAAACACAGTGTGAGTCAGAACAAGTAAGTTATGCAAGGCGGCTAAAGTATTAGCCTACCAATTACAGTATCCAAGCATTGCTATGTCAATGCAAAACTGCACATATTGATATTTTGATGATGGTTGTTGTTTAATGGTGTTCTACGTTCATTTTACAGTAGTTAAGTGTTTAAACCGAGACAAGATATTATATATGTATCTGTGAAGGCTGCAAATTTTACATATAGAAATAAAAAAAAAGGGTTTGATGTGCATTTATATCCCTTCATTGCAGTCTTTTAGGTTTATTCCTGAAGATCATACATTCAAAGTTCATTCAAAATGGATACAGTTCTAGGCACATGAATATGTTTTAAGGCATTGTAAGAATAATGAACTAATGAAGGGATTTCTTTTTTTTTTTATCAGACCTCAGCAGCCTTTCGCTGTTGGTCCAAAGGCTATAGACTTCTCTGACATTATTCATCTGAATCACCAAATAAAGAGAAGGCCATCAGGTTGCACTCAGAGTAATGTAGGTGCCAGATCTTAATAGTGATGAACAACATGGCTTCAGGCTTTCTATGAGAGTGCAGTCTTCCTTCCTAATGACAGTGGAACTGGACTGAAGAGATATCCAGAAGACGAAAATAGCAATGGATGGTCTGGAGAGGAGTAAAAATAATGGATTCTTCATGTATTTAATTCAGATTATGATGTGTGTCTATAGTAATTCTTAAGGTCCGTTCTGTAGTCAAAGTAGGTCATGTAGATTTAAGCATACTATAAAGCACATAAGCAGGTCATGTGCACACGCAAACACTCATAGATGATCTAGGGCACGATAATGCTCTTCTGATCAGAAAGTGGGAATATAAGCAGGATGTGGAGGGGAAGTCTCCTCTCTCTGTTTGGTTTCACACTCAAGCACCATGCTGAAGCTTTTGTTACATCTTTCATGAGAGCCATTTGTCACTTCTTTTAATAACTGTTTCTGCTGCGTCTAATTATTCTGCATTTTTTGTCTGGTGCCAGTCTTTTAAGGGTTTGTTTTTTAGCATTCTACAAAAGAGAAGAGACTGGGTCCACAGGCAAAAAATAAATGATGACGTTTATTTCGGTTCACACGAAAAAGGTCTGGGATAAGAACCCCATATGAAAGAGAAAAATGCAAAAAGGACAATTGGGTACACAGATATGTGGTCTGCAGAAACACATGCTTCTAAACGCTGCCAATCAGCCTCTTTTTCTTGCACTGACTCACAGTAGGAGATCCCTGCTGCTGTTTTTTCCTCGGTTTCCTTTTGCCCACATGAGATTGATTAGCCATTCAACAGTGTCTTTATCACATCTGTCAGCTTTTGTCTTCCTGTCGTTCATCATCTTCGCTGTCACTAAGTCTGATACCAGTGCGAACTCAGTGTGGAGTCAGAAGGATTTTTCTTCCATTTAAAATATCTGGCACATTTTCTAACTTAATGACAGACACTGGGAACATATGATTGGGTGATTTACTATTTTTGCTTAAAGCTTACTGACATTTGACCTGATAAAGATGTGAATGCTTATACACAATAAATTCCTGGGTGTAATTATCGATCAAAAACTACATTGGCATCCTCATGTGGCCCATGTCAAATCCAAAATGTACAGGTCACTTGGGATTTTGCAAAAACTCAAGCACATGTTATGTCCTACTGTAGGTCCTTGCACCTACTATATAAGACACTGGTAAGGATAGTGAGATATAGGGTAAAACCTATAAAACAATCATACAGCAAATTATCACTGCAAAAATGTGCAGTCCATCTCATTAAAAGAGCTCATTAAGATCGTCACATTCATAATCTGTTTACTAGCTCCAAAGTATTGAAATTTAATGAATTAGTTGATAGTAAAATTTGAGATTTGATGCATAAAAAAATAAATAATATACTTTAAAATAATATACTTAAGGTTTGCTAAACCTAAAGCACGGACAGACTCTAAATTACGAAGTCTGTCATTTTAAGGTGTGACTGAGTGGAACCGTTTAGACCAGGGGTCTTTAACGTTTTCCAGGCCAAGGACCCCCAAACTGATGGCGAGATGGAGCA